TTTGAGTTGGGTAGAGTTTTGGGGAGTTGGAGCTAGCAATTTTGTCCCCAAATGTTGTTTTGGCCACATTATTAGTTTGAAAGCTAATACATGATGGTGTGTGTTTGTGTGCTTGTGTAGACCGGTTGTGAGTCTTGTTGGTCACGGGGCCATATTGTTGGTTTGTTATTCCTTGCTCAGCGAGAGGTAACCACTTTTCAATCCTTAGTACATGCTTCTGTGGTATTGTGAGTAGATTTATGTTTTGTGCTCCGAGTAACATTATGTTCAAAGTGTATGTTATATATAAAAAGGAAAACCGTCTTGTGGGGTTTCGATTGATGATGAATGAATCTTGGAATTGTGAAAGATATGCCACTGAAAGAAGTAAATTATGAAATGTTCAATTACTATTTGATTATGGTTTGAGCATGATGCATGAATTGGGAATTGGTGAGAGTTTTTGATAGTTGCTACCACGTGGTAAGGCCTCCATTAATGCATGATGGTTGGCTCAATACGTCCCCCATAGTGAGGGATAGGCCTTTTGGCTCCCTATGTCCCCAGAGTGAGGGATAGGCCTTTTATGGCTCCTTACGTCCCCCATAGTGAGGGATAGGCCGGGTACGGCTCTTAAAAATCCCCCAAATGAGGGATATGGTTGACGGGAATTGCATCATTGCACTTGCATGACTTATAGTGGCTATCATTATATATTACTTGTGAACTGCCCCACTCGACACCTCCACACTGCACTTATTTAGTAGTACCAGTTGAATTGGAAATTGGTTACTGGGACGTTTGTCTCACCCCGTGGTTTACAATGTTTTCAAGTGAAGGTTCTAGGCGTGCGCCTTCGGGAAGAGACGCAGAGGCTTAGCTTGGTTAGCTTTAGGCCTCTAGCCTTGTTTATGTATGACCAGTTGTATATTGCCATAGTAGGGTCCTTTGAAATATTTTGATTGCCCGGCTTTATGGTAAACGGAGAAGTGTATCTTCTCACTTTTAGTTGGCCGGAGGCCCTTTCTATTGTTTGTAGAACTTTGATTTATATTGTTGGAAACTATTATATGGGCTGATGTAGATGTATTTTGTTACCCGGGCCGGAGGCTTGGAGGCCCAGTAGATGTTAATGAATGATATTAGTTGCATGCAACGGAGTTTGGGTTTTGACCCGAGTTTGAAATCAATTTCTAAAATTATGCAAATTTCTTTCTACTATGGTAGTTCATTTTAATAGCTTTCCTTTTCTACCATAGTAGTGGTTTTATGACAAGATTATAATGTTATGAGGTTAAGGGTTTTACAAAATCAAATGAATTCTTATATTAAGGACTGTAGATAGTATATTATCAATTTAATAAGACTTCAATCACTGGGAAAAATTACATAATAATTGAAGATGATTGTTTATCATAAACTTTAGGGTGTTGTGTCTATCACCATGGAGTATCTTATACTTCGTTTGGCGTTTTGAAATATTCTTTTTATAAGTATGCTTATAGCACCTTAATACTCTAAAAGCAAGATGATATAAAAAAGTATTTGAGGGTGATGGATACCCATGAAAAAGTAATTTAAGAGTTTTAGATGAATCACAAAATATTTTAAGGTGCCAGATACATTTAAAAAAAAAAACTTTAAAGTACTAGATAAATCATAAAATATTTTAAGGTACTAGACATACATGAAAAAATATTTCAACCAACCTTAGCCCTAAAATTTATATAAAACCTGGCCATGAAATATGATATTCTGATGTGGAAATCAATGCGCAAATTGTTAATATGCGACTTCATTAATATTCCGCTCTAGATACAGAACCTAATTAACTTAATCACATAAATTGTAAGAACTTAAAAAAGTTAGTTATATGTAAAAAATGTATGTTGGGTTTTTTTTTTAAATACCACTCATTTTAATTATCTACATCGAACAATTAACACAACTTATGGATCATGCAAAATAATCTTAGTAATATTCTACCAAGAAAATAGTTTAGGACATTGAATGCTATTAAGAAAACTTTAAACCTTAGTTTGGATGAGAAGATAAATAGAGAAGGGATAATTCTAAGAAACTACGTTTAAAAGTTAACTTTAGGTGTTTAGTGTCACTGAGAAAATACTTTAAAAATAAAATTGTACTAAAAATTACTCTAAGATGTTAAAATGTTATTGAAAAAATATTTTTGAGTGCTAAATATGGAGGTTAACACTTGATGTAACAAACAAAAAACTATACAAGATTCCATTAATCTATGCCATTTTCTTCTTCCTTTTTCATCAAAACCCTTCCTTTTTTTTTTCACCATCGCCTCATAGTTAAGATTAATCTGAGAGATCTAAATCTTCAATTAAAATGTCTAACATTCCTTTTGAACTTTCGGGGCTCCCATATGCGTGTGCTGCAATTTCAAACAAAACAAAAGAAAAAGAAATGAAAGTGAAAATAGAAGCGCCTTTATTTTACTTACAAAATCATAGTCACAATGCAATATATAAACTTCAGTTGTGATTAGAATATAACCTATCTCTTTCCTTATCCTCCCTGTAAGCGCCTTGATTTTGCTATGAACCGCGAAAATCTTGCTGCTGATAGACGATAAATTATATATGGCCTTCCTGAAATTAAAGCCAAGGGAAAAAAGAAAAGAAAAAGAAATTGATGCTGTTAAAAGAAACATGTTTAATTGAATATATGTTAAAGATTTTAACTTGGTTTAATATAATTTTTTGCCTCTGAAATTTGGGTCCATTTTGCTTTTAGTCTCTTAAATTTAAACATGTGGTTTTAGTTTCTGAAATTTATTCTGTCTTAAAACATTAGTCCATGGAGCCTAATGGTGCTAAAATCTGCTGAGGTGTCATAAACGTCGTTAAAATGATAATATGGACTCATTAAAAGACACCTAATTGGATCTTGTATGGATAATAGATAAAAAAAAAAAAGGTCATCAGAATTCATTGCAAAGACTGATTATATAAAGTGGAATGAATTCTCAAATGCTACACAATGAACAACTCCTCAAATGAATAACAAGAAACAAAAGGGATAAACAACTACTAACTTTGATCCTAATTATAAGATCTCGTTTATAATCTACAAACGAGGTCTTATAATTAAGATAAAAGGTAATATATTTTAAGGATATGTTTTTTTTTTCCTTTTATCCACACAAGATCCTAAGGTGTGAGTCTATATCACCATACCATTTTAATGTTGTTTACGACTCTAACAAATTTCAATACCATTATACTTCCTAGAACTAACATTTTACAGAGCAAATTCTAGAGACTAACATCATGGGTTTAAACTTTGAAAGACTAAAACAAAAATAGACCCAAATTTCAAGACAAAAAATTACATTAACCCTTTTAACTTGATAAATTCCAATAAAGTCAAGATAAATGAAGTTTAAGAGGATGATTTATATCAGAGCTTACCAATGAGAACCCAAGAAGAACTTAAAATGAAGAGCACAAGCAACAATGGTGAGGACAACCCAATAAACAAACGCAGGGAACTCATGCATGGCTTCTGTCAAAGAAGGCACAAACTCTTCTTCATAACCTTCACTGAACAAAATTTTCAACTCAATGATTCTCTTGACAGTTTCATAGGCATTCATGACGATGTGGTTGTAATCAGAAGTGGCTCTTAGGTTTTTGTGGAAGACATGAACATGGCACAACACTGCTAATGATCTCCCAAGGCTGTCTTCTGCAGAAACCTGCGAAAGATGGAAGAAAGTGCCATATTCCACAGAGAATGCTGCCAGCACCATCACTGCTTTGGATTCCCATGAATAGGGTTTTAACTGTTCAAGGATTGACATTGTTGTTTCATGTGCATACGAGTGGTTCTCGTCATCATCTGTGTGCATCATCTTTAAATTTTTTTTTCCACCCCGCAAGAATAATGCAAATGGTTAGAGAAATTTAAATTAGGGAAAATATGGGTTTTATAAAATACCAACTCTGGTTCTTAGTATCGGAACTAGATAACTAATTTGAGTAGATTAAAGAAGTTTGTTAAATTAGTTATTTGTAATAAATAAGTGTTGTCTTTTCTAAAATATCCTTATCAATTATGTGTATTAATTAAAACTACTATTTAATATAACCTTTAACATGTATAATTACTATAAAGGCTTTTTTTTTAAAAAAAAAGATAAATATAATAGATAAAGTATAAAAAAACAGAATTAGTCTAGTCCTTGTTCAATTCGTCTAACCCTGGAGACTAGATGGGCCACAGAGAAGCGCATTTAGATATAATGTCCAATCCATCTAGGCCCATTGTTTACAGATGAGATGGGCCAAAAAGTCCATTTATGGCTAAGAGAAACATGGGCTTAATGAGCCCAATACTTGTAGATCGGAGTTGCTCAATGAGCCGACCCACCATTTCCAGAGCTAATAATAATAGTAATAATATGAACCCAAAATAAAATTTTTCAAAATTCAGAATAATTTTTTTAAATAAAAAATTTCAAAATAAAAACAAATCTGAACGAAGGTGAAAATAAGGTTTCCTCCGCACGCAAATTCTCGCTATCAAATGATGCCAACTTGGATTCCCTCTAGCCTCTTGTGAAAAGAAAAATAAGGAGAAATGTTCTTGATGGGCCCCATTAGAATTCTTGTCTCTTTCTCTTCCTATGCTTTACGAGGGAATCCTCCCCAAACAAAATGTCCTTATCACTAGAAAAGAAAAACATCGAACCAGTGTCATTGGAAAAAGAAAAAAAAATAAAATTCCACAGTTAGTTGTTCCCCCCACCCCACGGTAATTGCATCCGTATCTAGAGTCCTTAGGGTTTAAATGGGATTATTAAATTTTTCTTGAAATGCCCTTATAAAAAAATTAAAATTATTATAGGATGTGTTTTTCAAGGAGACATATTAATTACAGACATATTTAGAGAAATGAGTAGTTTATTGACTCGATGATAGGCTGAGTCAAATTCGAAGATAATAATAACAAACTTCAAATCTCAAATAATTTTCAACAACCCTTCGTCTAAGTGTGAGATAGATAAAAGCATGCAGTAAGATACCAACCAGACAAGAAATAGGCCTCAGTATATGTGCTGGTGGCTCGAAATTGCTTAGAATAGCCTTCTCATCTTCTTCAATCTGTGAGTGTGTGTGTGTAAACAATAATAAACCAATCATTATCTCATATATATATATATATATATATCAGATCATGAAGGTTAAATATTACGTACCTTGGTGGCCGTATCAGTATGACCAAGTGAGCAATTCATAATGATTGAGACAACGCTGAAAAGAGCTTCGACATTGAAGGATTCTTCACAATTAGTTTTGTGAACGTCGACATGGAACTTATTGTAAAGCAGATCCACGATCTGGCTATCACTTAGGGTTAGTGGTTTTAATAATTGCTTCGATGTCATCTTTATGATCTATTTTCACTACCAGAAATCTGCAGATTTCCCAGAGAGCGATATGACGAACTATACATATGTAAACCTTCCCAGCTCAGTTAGCTTAATGAATGTCCTTTTAGTGATATATATGTACACCGACAGTCGCAAACACAGTACAAGCACACATTATTATAATATTATAATTAGTGTTTCTTTTTTGAAGTCGGATCTTTTGCTTTTGGGAAGGATGAGATTCTATGTCTTTAACTTTATACTCTGTGAGACTCTTCGAGAAAAAGAGAAAATTATACGTACTTAAGGTAAATGGAATGGGAATATCTTGTGAACAAGGTAAAGAATATATATTTGGTATGGAACTTTCTCCCTCTTTAAGCTAATTAAATATTACTCTTTTCAGTCCTAAATATAAGACTCATATATTGTTGATAAAATCATGCCTAGTTGTTTTCTAGATCTTATTAGATCAATCGAAAATCATTTCCTAAACAACCCGCTCATAATGTCTTACTATCATATTTAGTCCACACTGAACTCATTGAACTTAGGTCAAATTTCTTATACTCATTTTGCCAAGTTTTCTAGCCATACAAGGTCATATGTCCTATTTTTAAAATATACTATCATTAAACTACAAATTCATATAAAAAAATAGGACACATAACTATTTATGTACAGCGGTGAATCCCATATTGTTGAGGACATTGGGATCCCATGTTCTTCTTCTAATCTCCCTTGTCTTCTTATTTATTTGATCTTCTTTGCATGTATACAAAATGATTAGTTTAAGATAAGGGGAAAAAATGTATGAAGGGAGTTATAAAAAACACCACACAGAGAGAGAGTCTTAGTCTGTGATTGAGAATCTTCTTTAAAGCAAAATTTTACAGGTTTTTAATTTTGATAAACAAAGGTAGTTTTAAATATAACTCATACAAATTTGATTAACTCAGTTGTTTTGAAATAATTAAATTGATGGGAGGACATAAAAAAAGAAATTCTACATCTATATGTACGTAAAATTTTACACTCCAGCTAGTTCGTTATTTGGGAAGACACTGAGTTTTTCAGCAAGGTTCTTGATTCTTGAGTCTTTGTTAATATTGAAAACACTTTTGGAAAAGTAACCCCCAATAAACTTAAAATTGCTTGAATTTAATTCCATACGAAATAGTTATGGGTTAATATTGTGATTGTTGTTGAAATTTGACATATTATTTTTTATTTTAATTAGTTACTAAAGTTTGATTTCATTTTAGTTCGCCTAAAAATATTTTTGTTCTGCACCCGTGTTTTTAGTTCTTGAGACAACCTGTTAAGGACCAAAATCACTGATGTCAAGTTTTTGGGATTAATTTTCATAAACGTAGCTAAAGGTAATACTAACCCAAAACTTAAATCACCAGGCTTAGTCCTTGGTATGGGCAGATGCAGTGGGCTTATATAGACTTCCCATAAACTATGAGCCTCACCTGATTATATATAAAGCACGTGAAGATAAGCGTGGTGCTTAAAAAACCACGTTGCATGCACAGTGGGAAAAAGAAATTCTCACTTAATTAGCTGTTTTCCACCAAAATGCTTTGGGGAGACATCCGTATTGATTGCAATACTTGTTGGCTTTTGCTATTTCAATGTTTTGTTGACCCTAAGCCTTTAATCATATGCATAACGACAACAAACTGAACAAAGAAAGAAAAAGAAGAAAAATTCTTCATCCACACCTACTTTTTTCCCTATTACAATTCTTTGCAGCCGCCTTCTCTTAATAACTTTATCCTTTATTTATTATTGTGCTGATTTTTTTCTCATAAGATACTCTTCTGATTCTATTTATAAGACAAAAGAAGAAAACATTTTTTAGTCATATTTAAACATAGAAATTTTTTTATATGGATGTATAATTTTACCCTTCATTTATTATTGTGTTGATTTCGTTTACATAGGGTATAATGTATATTAAATAGGGATAAAATTAAAAAAGTTGTTGAATTTTAAATGAGTTAATGAAGTTTAAGGTTTTTCTTGATCTGTATGAAACATGTTAGAAGTGACTTATAAATAGTACTAGAGGAGTATAATGTATTTTAAATATGAATAGAATTAGAAAATTGTTGAATTTTAAGACAGAGGTAATAAATTTTAAGATTTTTTTTATAACAAAAAGTTTAGGTCAGTTGAATCTAGATGCTCACTAGAGTTAGAGTATGTGTCCATGCTCAGAGAATAAGATCCTCATATTAACAGTATGATTCAAACTCAGGACTTTTTTGACTATAAGTCAACTCCTTATTACCAACTTGAGGAACTCTTGTTGGCATTTTAATTTTTTTTTATAATTATAAAACATGTTAAAAATAACTTATAAATAGGATCCACTAAACTAGGATAAAAAACAAGCCCAGCAGAACGCGATAAGTGGCCGGCACTTAACAATCAAGAAAGAACAAAATTCCGTTGATGACAAGTGTGGGAAAACGAGTTCTTAATTAAGTCAATGGAAAAGCAACTCCATTTCCAATTGCTTCTTAAGAATCACATGCCCGAGTGAACAAAATCATGTGAAATAAGCATTTAACAAGAGTTCAATCAAAATTGCACAATTAAATCATTTTATTCTAAAAATCACTTGGAAACTTACTAAACATACAATTGACACATTTTAGTCACAATGAGATGTTAAAAGCTCAAGATTATGTGCAAAAAGTGATAAGAGAATTGGGAAATATCAAATATGTCCGTATTTCTAATTATTTTTCATAATTCCCTTCGAGGATATATATATATATATATATATATATTATATCAGATGTCAAATCTTTGTCAAATGAAAAACAAGTTTCCAACATGCCAAAGTAAAAAGACAGAATTATTACTTCATAGCTCGATTATTTATTGAGTTAAACATAGATTACATGATAACATCCATACAAAACCAGACAAGTGCACATGACACAACAAACAAAGGTAGTACACACTATAGAGGTTCATATATAAAAGACGCAGACATTTTATTGATTATTTATATCATAGAGACAACAGAAAGCAGAGCAGGCAGCTAGTTCATCCATCAATGCACATTGATGATCATTGATTACGGAGTCCATTTGGTCTTCAGAAGTGGGGTCCCAATCTCGCCGTTCAGGTTCGCCAATGGTGCATTGTGAGAATGGATCCCATGGCAACAGTTGTAGGTAACTGTTTCAACTTCCATAATCTTCTTCTTGCAAGATGGCTCAGGACAAGTGATAGTGAAAGGAACTCCTGATCGTATATTGCTCAGTTGGAAGTGGACACAAGGAGGAGGAACACCAGCCTTCGTTTCATTGTAATACTTTATAAATGCATTATCAAAACCTTGAAGAACTTGCACGTTCACTTTCCATTCATCGAAAGTCTCCAGTACGCTTGTTACCACGGAATCAAACCCTATAACCAGCACGTTGGGGCCTTTGCTCAGAAGGGCCCAAGCTTTCTCATTCTTGTATGACAATAAGGTTTCGATTTCTTTAAGAACAGTGTCTTGTTCGTGATTCTTCTTTTGAAGTCGGCTTAACATCGAGTTGGTGATGCTGGCCCAGAAATTGGATGCTTGATCATGCCTTGTTGTGAGGTTAAAATGCTCGATTATGGCGTCTGCTTGCTTGATGATGGGGTCATTCTTAATGGTGTCTAACAGTGTACCAATCCTTTGGGTACTAGCAACGTCAGTCCCTCCATAAATGAAGATGTATGTCTCACTCTGAATCTGCAGATCAAAATATTTGCATGGTAAGTTAGTTAATCATATAGTTATAGGACTAAGTTGCAACGGGTTAAAAGTTTAGGGAATGAATAGATAATTGATTAATACTGACCCATTTTCCAATGTCGGGGAAAACTTTGGTTGCTTCATTCCAAAACCACTTCCATTGAAGGGAGAGTCTTTCTTCGTCCTCATGTCGAAATGGGAAGGCTTCAATCTTCCAAACGAAGATCATGTACATTGCATTACGGTGAATGACTTGACCTTTAGGGTTTGTCACGACCACAATAGGCTTTCCCTGGTAATGCCACAGCTTTTCTAGTGCCTTCTTGCCTTTAATGGCGAACAGGTTCTGTAAGACGTACCATGGCATGTTTGATTTCAGCTGCTTGAACTTTTCCTTCCGATCATCAGTTATCCTATGATCATCAGTTTCCTCCACCACAGGAACCCATAGGATTTGGTAATTTTGTTTCTCTTTGTCTTTTTTGAATGCATCGTGGACAGATTTCAAAACCCAAATCTCGTCTTCGATGTTGTCCAGACCAGAAATGAACAGCAAAAGATTCTTCGTCTTCAAAACATCATTGCTTACCTAAAAAAGCACATTTCATTTAAACTTTGGGACTACTATAATGGGGGAAAAAAATCTTATTCTTGAATTTTTTTTATATTCTAAATTTATGTATTGAGTGTAAAATTTTTGAGAACTTACCACTTTTTGGATAGTGTTATCGAAGATTTCGAGCTCAGTAATTTCCCTAGAGAAGATGAGAGCCCTCAAAAGATCCACAATTCCAGAAGGAGACTTAAACACACTCTCCCGCCATGCTTGGTCTTTCTCTTCATCTGAAAATTTCAATGAAGCTAGCATTGTTAGCTTTGGATATATATATATATATATATATGTATTTATATATAATAGGGAAAACGACAGTTTTAATTAAGTCCCAAAACATCAATTTAATAACATTTCTGTTTCAACAAATTTTTGTTAAAAAAATAAGTTGCAAATATCAATTCAGAACGTGGTTAAGATGAGAGTGTTTGTTGCAATTGGACATTTATGTTTTTTAAGTAACTCTTGGTGATTTGCAATTAAAACTCCTAACATTGGAAATGCTTGATAAGGTTGAAAAAAACTTGAAAATAATACTCCTCCGGTCCTTAATATAAGACCCATTTAACTAATTTGATTAGATTAAGGAAGTTAGGTAAGTTAGTTAATTATAAGAAAAGTGACACATTTTTTCTAAAATACCATAATCATCTTTTTTAATACCCCATCTCCCTCTTCTATTTGATTATGGTTGAGGGAGTATCTATAGGGGTAATTTAGAGAAAATTGATAAATATGAGAAATGGGTCTTATATTTAGGACTAAAACCAACTCAAGAATTGGATCCTATATTAAGGACCGGAGGAGTAGTTATTGAAAACTTGAAAATAAGTTCATAAAAGCAGTTCTTTTCTATAACCTTCTTCACGCTGAATCTCATTCAACTCATTATTCAATCTCATGAGAACGTGATTGAGCTTCCCAACAACTTCGGATTTGATGTTCCAATCCCTGCATCAATTTGAAAAATAAGCACATTAGGAAATAGAACTTCCCAAACACAATGACTATATCATTGAAAAGAATCATCTGATTCGTAACTGTAAGCATGCATATAAAGTTTTTTCCCCCCCAAATGCATATAAAGTTTGTGAAGGGATACAGATTCATTAAAAAAATAGGTGAAAAGCTCTGGATTCATCCAATCATGAGAAGAGCAAGAGAAGGGTATGTAGAAGTGGGACCACCATTTGTTGAAGCGGAATTCGTTCTCTTCACCTGCTCTAAAGTCATATCAAATTCCCAATATAAGAACTTGGATTCTTTCCCAATATAATAGCATGTTTATGCGTACACAAGAATATAGGATTAATTTATTTTCTGACATGACACATTTGGACCAAAAATCTTTAAAAGAAAAACCTAATAGTTGTACTAAGAAAACAAACAAACAATTATTCATATTATTAATGATAAAGATGTGACTCATATCTTGCGTAAATTGTAATTTATAAGCACATATATAAATACTTTTTGAGCTTTGAAATATGACCTTATCCTCATAAAGTTTTGAGACTCAAAGACGGCCTATCAAAGCCTCTACGAGAAGCGATCTATATGTGTGTGGACGAAAGAATAAAGATGATGAAATAGAAATGAGATACTCACAGTTCAGTCGTTCGATTAGAACAAGTGAGAAGGGCCAAGATTGCCCAATAAGTATAGAGTTCTCGAGGAGCATGATACAAAGTTTGGCTTGGAGACTTGTCAGCGATCTTCTTCTCCAATGTTGAAATCCCTTCAATAAGTTTGAATGAAATATCCACCAACGTGTTAATGAGGTCTAAGTTGTTCTTGCTAGGCTGGGGTTCGTCTCCAAGCCTGAAGATATGGAGTTCAAGAGCATTTTGCTCGGTACGTTCCATGAGAGCGAGACGCCAAGTTTCGCCAAAGTCCAAAGCAAAAGCCGAGAGAGCTATCACTGCCTTTGCGTCCCATGTGTAGCTTTTAAGCTTCTCCAGAATTCCCACCGCTGTTTGGTGTGCCGTAGATTTCTCAAAAGGCTTGCATGTCATCTATAACACCAGTTTATTAGTATCGAGTCTCTTCCATGCGACCTAACTTGTTATTTTTTTCGAAAAGAAAGATCTGAAAAGTGAATATAAGAACAAGAAATGAAGAATAATGACCTGACAAGCGATTTCTTTGAGGGTACTGAAAGGTGGCATGAAACTGGACTGTGGAACCTTGTCTTCCACAAGTTCAACAGCTTTGGGACGCTGTTCGAATAATATACAAACAAACAGAAGCAGATGATAGTTAGTTAACGAATAAACAGAAAGCGTTCGCAAGAAAAATGGGGTTTAAAAAGAACCTTGAGATCGAGGGAGGTGCCGATGTGAGTGGAGCTCTTGATGATGTTGGAGACAACATTGTAAAGAGAACCGACATCGTACTTGGGGGCCTGCGAGTCATGGATTCCGATGATGTGGTTGGAAATGGCTTCATCTGTTGCAGTGAAAGGGTTGATCTTATCCAACAAAGATGAAGCTGAAACGATGAGCTTCTTACTCTGGAACAGCTCCATGTCTGCAAGTGTCGTATGATCTGATAGAAGAAGAGAATATGAGAAGACGTTTAGTTGCTGTGCTCTGCTTTGCTGCTTCTCATGGCGTATTTATAGGCCATAAATCGCATGGGGAAACAATTCTAAATAATAATAAATAAATGAATATATGATAAGAATCGAATGTGAACAATTGAAACTAGCCAGGTGGATCTGATATGATGAAGGAGGGAGGAAGATATGAATCTAATGAAGACAACCTGCTTAGGTGTAGACAAAGCGTATATGAAGATATTGGGAATTAATTTCAGTGCTCATCATTTTGATAAGCACCATAAGCTCATCAGATCTAAACTATCCATATCTGATTTGCATGGTTCATATTTGATTTTTTTTATTTTTATTTATTTAAAATAATTATTTTAATATGTATAGAATCTAAAATAGGGACAATCTCTTAACTATCATTCTTTCCAAAAATAATTTTTTTGATTTAAAAATAATTAATTAAATATTTTAAATCTAGACTGTTTAAATAAGATATAGACGGTCCAGATCTGATGAGCTTATGGTGCTCATCAAAGTGATGAGCACCGAAACTGGTTCCTATTCGATATCGTGATTTGGTCTATCTAATCGAAGACGGAAGATTAAATAGAGTTAATGATATTTAATATTCCCTCCAATCCTAAATGTGAGAATTAGATAACTAATCTATAAAAATTAAAAATATTAATTAAGCTAGATATTAGTTAAAAAAAATGTGCTAGTTTTCCAAAAGTACCGCATTTAATCATCAACATTGAAACTACTCCATCTCATTAAAATTGTTAATATGGCCGGTTAATAAAGATAATTTGAGGCGGAATTATAAATTTGAAATATAAAGTAAATTTAAATATTATAGCTAATACTAAAATAAAGTCAATCATCAATCAATCAATCAATTATTATATTCTTAAGAACTAGTAATACCCGATTCGTTTAAAAACGGGTCAGTTATAACATTATGAGACATGAATAGATTGAATTAATGAGATTTTAATAATATTTTGATTGGGATTTGGGTATATTGAATTAATTAAGAAGCATCATTATTATATGGGATTTTAATTGAAGACTCAAGCAAAAAATTAATAACTAATTTTGAATTTAAATAATATCTTAATTGGGATTTGAATATATTAAATAGTATGTCAACTGGGGGCTTAAATGGAGAAATAAATAAATAATTTAAATTTTTATATGTTTCCCTAAATTCCGTATCTCTAATTCAAATCATGTTTGAATGAATAAAAAAATTATATTCCTATATAAAGTAAATTTTGAGCTACCTTAAATAATGCAATTTATTAGAATTTAAAATCTAATCAAATATTCTAGTTCGTGCATTGTATGGGAGGAAAAATTTCTAGTTCTAAACTAATTTTTGTATTTAGGATCAGAAGAAGTATTTTTATATTATATTGGATAGTCTGTAAAAAGTTCGAAGGTGGAAGAGACTAGTTTTATCTTGCTTTTTCTCTTCAAAAAATAATAATAAAGTATTGATATTTAGAAAACCAAAATTTGTTGTTAATTTAAAAATGTCATTTATATGGAAGGTCAAAACTTGTAATAAAAATAAACAATTATTGTTGAGTAATAATATAATAAATATAACAAATGTTATCTAAATATATATTTTTGCCCCACAAATATTACATTTATTTCTTGTAAATAAAGAATGTATTTTGATGAATTTTACCATAGGCCCCTTTGTACACAATTTGCAAAGTAATAACAAAGTAGTAGGGAGTTGGCGCATTTGCAAGAAAGTTTCACAAATGAGCCGTATTGTCAAAGGGTTGTGAATAGTGTAAATGACCCTATAATTTTATAATTTATACTATAGGATTATATACATTTATTAATGATTAAATTGTTACTAATATTATCTATTATTTTTACCAAAGCTTATTCTTATTCATCTTAAAGAGGTCTTGTTAATGGATAATTTCAATATAAATAATTAAATATAATTTTTAAAATATTTTTAAATTAGTTATTTAACCCTTAACTAATTTTTTTTAATATTGCTTCAACGTGCATCACGTAATGACGTGACATTGCGCGGCACGACAAACAGTAAATCACAACCTGTTAACTCCGGCCATAAAAAAAAATCTCACGTTTTTGGCCTTGTGTACGTGGAGCTGAGGATGCGGCCGATGAGGCGGCTTCTGAACTTTCTGCCATGGAAGTGGATAGGACTTAGGAGGCCAATGCGTGGCGCTTTTTTGGCCAAAAAAAAAATGTGTGGGGTTAAAACTATCCGTACTTTGCTTTAGTTTTGACTTCTGAAGTTTTATATTGATAGTTTTAGTTATTGAAATTTGATTCTATTTTGATCAGTGTAAAATTTTTTTAGAATTTAAGATACAAATTTATCTTGTAAGAGCAACTAAATTTTTTTTTAATGTTTACTGTTGACCTAAAAATTTAAAACCGTAACAATTAGGGGATAAAAAGATTATAATTTTAAATTTTTGGGGTAATACTAAACCTAGAAAACTTTTAAATATTCAATGCTAGTACTCATAAATAAATTTTTAAGTTAACTCAAATTTTGTCATGAAATAGTGTTTTTATCATGAAAGACGGATGGAAACCAAAATGAAGTGAAGTCTTAGATTACATCAATCCTCTTTATATATGTACATACATACTTAAATAATATTTCTCTAGTTCTTAATATATGACCTAATTATTGTGTTGATTTTAGTTCTAAATATAAGACCTATTTTTCATGTTTATTAATTTTTTTTCTAAATTATCCCCATAGATATTCTCTCAACCACAATCAAGTAGAAGAGGAAGGAAATATATTAAGGAAGATAATTATGGTGTTTTAGAAAAACATACCCTATTTTTTATAATTAACTAACTTACTTAACTTTCTTAATTCAATTAAATTAGTTAAATAAGTTTTATATTAAAAAATAGAAGAGTATATATAGCAGAGTTTGTGATATTGCTGAAAGCTTTATAATAGCTTTAAGCCTTTAACTCATCCCGATGATTTAAAACTTAATAACCATTTTCAAGTCGTACCCAACAATTGAAAAGAAGAAAATAAAATACTCTAAAATCTTATCTTTTAATTATAAATAAGTTTAGTACTCTTTCGGTTTTTAATATAGAACTTAATTTAATAGTTGACATTGATCTTATATGTAAGATTCATTTTACATATTTATTAATTTTTTTTAAAATTAACCATATTGATATTTTCTCAGTAATAATCAAGTAGAAAAAATAGGAAAAAAATTAAAATATATATATGATATTTTTTAAAAAAAATCATACTAATTAATTTAATTAATATCTTTAACCTAGATATTTAAATTAATTAATTAGATTTTATATTGAGAATCGAAAGAGTACAAATTTAACAAAATGTTTTTGGAAAAAAAAATCCCTCTTTGTAGTGATCAGAGTTTATAATTTTATAGCCCCACCTTGCTGCTTGACAACAGGTAAATGACAGAAAAGGGACTTTGATGGACTTTAACATTAAATCTCTTAATTATAACAAACACTTATGATTCATTGAGCTCACCTGTTTTGATGAAAATCAAACTCTAGTTTTAAAAAATAATTTTATGATATACAAAATAAATTATAAAAAATTTATTTTAATTTACATTAAAGCATTTTTAAAAGTTTTTTTAGGATTTTCAAATACCTCCTTAATTATATAATGCAAATTATTATACACACACTTTTTTTTTTGCCATTGGGTGCGCACATATATAAGGCTAAAATATATAAAACTCAACTAAATTTTTAGTCAATTGCCTATGTCCTCAGGCATTTTAAAGTTAAAAATTAACCTCTAATTTTTTTGTCAACTTCTTACCATTACTCTATAGTTATTTTAGAGATGAAAATTGTCATGTCACATAAGTAGATGACGCTTGGCATCAGGCATATTATAAGAAACAAAATTCCTCTAAACTTTAGTGTTGCATGTCATCCTCTAACACTGCTGATTTTGATTCCTTTCCCAGCTTCATAAAGGTTTTGTTTGAGTTTTAAATGCGGAGGCAAAAATCAAAACTCGATAAAAATACCTAAACAATTCAGTAAACTCAGCCCCACAAGTTATATATGAAACTATAGGGCATAAAACCAATAATTTAAAGTTATAGGGATAAAAAGTTAAAATCCGATCAAATTACATAAAAACTAAGAACAGTATTAATCCATTTATATTTTATAAAAAAAAATTCTGAGCAAACATTTCATAAATAATAGATAATGCAATATAGAAAAAAGTTTACAGTCTATAATTCTATGTACAAACGCTTCAACGTGCATCACGCAATGAGGTGACATACCGCCACGCGATAAACAGTAAAAGGATAGCTGATGGAACGTTACAGGCTTAAGGGGAACAAAACAACAATGATTGTGAATTCGCGGTGTCCATTCGACCATTCCTATGGTATTCTGGTCCATTCCCTCTCTTATCTTAAACAACACTCTTTTCCGTGTAAAATGATATCTGTTTGTGCCCTGAGAATTTTTGGTTCATGGAACGGAAAATAGAATGAAATAGGAGTTATTTGTTTTTTTATTTTGATTTTTTTTAAAAATAAAAAAGTTTGTTTGATAATATTTTAGTTATGAGTTTAAAAACCACAATAATATGTTTTTAACTAATTAAAGTCGGGTTTAGTAGAAGGAGTTAATTTCTCATAAAGAGGTGAGCCAAATTTCAAATCTCTGCTAAGAGAGGTGTCTATATTCTCTAATTGAAAAATATTTATATATAACAACAAAAATAATAACAACATGTTTTTAAAAACTAAAAAAACCAAAACAATTTTTAAATACATTCTTGTTTTTATTTTTGTACTTGGTTTTTTTTTCGTTTTAAGAAATCGAGAAAAACCCTTTCTTTTCCATTATTTACCCATGCTCCCGCAAATGATGGCCATCACCGACCATGTGTTCCTGCTAGTCGCTGCCACCTC